CTCTCAGACAGTGGTGGAGCTTTCAGAATCCTTGGCCAGTGTCATGGGGAGCTCTGATGCAAAGATGGCCCATAGAGGAGTTCCACACTAAGCAAAAATGGTCCTAGTACCCTGCTGTGCTAAGCCTCTGATGGGGAGCAGCCTGGGACTAGCATGGTCTCGGCTTAAATGCTGCCCTGGACCCTGAAGGCATTGTGCCTGGATGCTGTCAACTAACTGCACTCCTCATAACAGAACTGTCTTAAAGCGACACCCAAGCAGTACACTTCCATAGCTGCCCCAGGCCATCCTTTGTGCCACACAGATGCACTACTCCATACTTGCTCGGGGAGCAGTTCCTCCTTGGCTCCTGTGGGCCACTCTTTCTGAGGGTAAACTTAGAAGAGAAAAGTTGGTGGGGCAAAGTACAAGCCCTATCAGTGCAGTTGGTCCTGCAACTGCAACAGGTATTCATGATTACCCTCTTCCACTATCCATTCTAGGATTCCCTCACTCTCAACTATAACCTCTGCAGTTTTGGCAGCTTTCCTTCACCCCTGAGTTATCTGAGTCCCTCGTATCCATATCCTTCTTAGGCCATTCACACTGTACTTGATCACTTACAGCCACAATGAGGCACGGTAGTACCAGAAGTCACCGGAGAAGATCATGCGAGTCCCCAACATATTCCTGTCTGCCTCTACTATATAATAACAGCAGTCTTACCTCTTTCTTGATAAGTGCCTATTAGTCCCACCAACATGATGATTCTTCCTGCTTGCTGGTGTCTGGACTGAAGGAACCCCAAAATACCAGGTAGCAGTGGTAGCTATAAGTACAAATGAAACCCAGGCTGTATTTCCTGATAAGAGTACAAAGAACCAGAACCTCTACCCTGCAAAGCCTAGAGGTGAGGGGATGGGAAGCACAATGTTGGCCCCTGAGTAGGTCACTGGGAAAGATGGAAAGTGAGGCCACTTTGGCTTCTTCCCTATGGCTTCCAGACCCGTGTATTCTTCCTACTGGGGACACAGTGCCACATGGACATCTCTGAGTCGTGCATATGCTGCATCCTGGAGGATGGCGCCTCATCCTTGTAAGGTATTGCCTCTAAGCATGTGCTTCAGCTATACCTCCAGAAGGCTGTTCCAATACTTTATCAAGGTAGCAGCTTCTGGGTGGCACAGTGTGATACCAGACTATCCCATGTTCATGGGCTCATGCACATACCTCCTTTGCTCTGAAGTGTGTCCCTTGGTAGGACACCCTCTTGTGTGGGATTCCAGGTCTGCAGGTCATGCACTCTGAAAGCCCCTGGATAGTGGTGTTGGCTGAAGTTCCGCCAGGAGGAAAGGAAACCCATACTCAAAATAGGTTTCTATGTTTGTAAGAAAGAGCAGATGTCTCTTCTAAAAGATAAGGGACCCAACACGGAGAAATGGTGCCATACTGGGGTCTCAGAATTGGCCTCCTTTGCTGAAAGACTGGCCCTTCAGAACCAGCAGCAGCAATAAAGGCCTGGCAAGTGGGATTCCATGCTTCTGGGTCTGCAAGCTTCTCCATCTCTCACACTCTCTCCATCTGTTTATGTGCCAATTGTTTCAGTTCTGGACTGGCTGATGGTGAAGGGTGGCTCATGTCCAACTTGCTGAGCCATTTTGTCTGCTTAACTGTTCAGATCCTCTTCCATTGTTGGTGCTTTCTGGGGGACACTTGTATGTGATGTAAAAATTTCCCTTCATGCTCACTCTCATTTGTCTATCAATGTGTGCCTACCCCAGACCTCCTTGTCTTTAGTATTTTAGTCCTTTCCTTTTTAGGCCTTTGCCTAGGCCATTGACCACTGGTCAGAAATCTGCATATTCCTACCCTGGGCCACTTCTTCCACGCAAAGTGAATGACAAGGTGCACACCTTAAAGCTCCACGCATCAGAAAGATTTTCCATCCCCACTGTCTTTCAGGGCTGTCCCTAGGTGGGTGTGGCTGGAATGTAGCTGCTGTCCATTTTAAGCTCACACCCAAGGAGGAGGAAAAGGCCTGAATATTGCTTATGAAAGCCAAGCCACTACCAGGAAAGGAGGGAAGGCAAAGGGACTCACAGGGCACAAGGAACCAAGAGAGAGCTTATGTGTTTAGGTGAGGTCACTCGGTACCACATTGCAATATTCAGGCCTTTTCCTCCTCCTTCATCTAATCACATGAGATCACACCAGTGCCTCTCCCTTAGCTCACACCTATGGCAGTGTGATAACCATTGCTTCCATTGCTCACTCACACTTCTTTGCCTGTCTAGATGAAGTATTTCCATCCTACAGTGGATTGCCGGAGGGTCATCTGACTTTCACTTGATGGGCTGACAGGACCCAGCTTATAAGGGGAAATTCCAGATTTACAGTCACTTGGTGTCCCATGGTCAAGTGTTGTCTCTTCCAGGGCCCAAAGGTACACCAAAAGCTGTTTCTAAAAAGGTGTATGATTCTCTGATGTGGATGCCATGGCCCTGTTCCAGAACCATAGGAGTGGCGATCTTCCCATGGGGACTGGCCTGAAACCCCGCCCTGCCTCCTTTTTCACCACTGACACCTCTGACACTGCAGGGTCTGTCAGATGAGATGGTCCAAGAGTTGCTTGCACTGCAGCCAGGACCTGCTGCAGATCCCTCTCTTGCTCCCAGCCTCTCTCAAATCTCAGCCTTCTGTGTCACCCAGTGTGTGAACTGGAGAAGTTATCCTATGGGTGGAATGTTTCCTCCCCCAAACCCAAAGAAGTCTACCAGGTGCACCACTTTTTTCTTTGTGGTGGGGGATTCAAGAGGCAGTGATTTGCCTTTTCCTTTGGAGGGGACATCCTGGAATGCCTCTGACCACTGCACTCCTAAAATCTTCACAGATGTAGCAGATCTATGAATCCCCATAGGGCTTGTTGCCCACCCTCCAGAGTGCATGTGTTTCACCGAGGCATCCCAGTGTGTAGGCTGCCTGTTACTCTTCCTGCCCAATCAGAATGAGGATGTCAGTGTAACAGATCCATGTGCCATGCCATTCTATGCACTGTCTAGATGATCCAAATCTCTTTAGACTGTATTATGACAGAGGATAGATATGACACAGGGCAGAAGAGTTAACATGGTCCTGAGACAAAATGTAAATAGAGATTTTTGTTTGTCCATGTGATCGTGAAATGCTTCTATGTCAGTCCATTTTCCGTTGCTTATAATAGAACACCTGAAACTGGGTAATTATAAAGAAAAAAAAGTTCTTACAGTTGTGGAGGCTGAGAAGTCCAAGATAAAGGGGCAGCATCTGGTGAGGGCCTTCTTGATGGTGGGGACTCTCTGAAGAGTCATGAAATGGCACAATACATCACATGGCGAGAAGGCTGCGTGTGCTCAGGTCTCCCTGTCTCTCTTCTTCCTATAAAGACACCAGTATCACTCCCATGAGATGCCATTAATCCATTAATCAATTATTAGATTAATCTATTCGTAAGGGCAAGGAGGAGACAAACATTCAAACAGCAGCGTCTTATCCTCTTTCCTTGATTGGCTGAAATGGAAACGAATGCCTTCATCAAATCAATGGCCACATACTATGTACCCAAGGCCTTATAAATCTATTTGAGCAATGATACTATGTCTGGCACAGAGCATCTGTAACTGGGATTACTGCTTGATGAAGCATGAGGTAGGATACACTCATTCTCCAGAATCCATCCAATTTCTACAGGGTACAGAACTGGCAGATTAAATGGAGATATGATGGGGACCACCATACCTGTTAATACATCCTAGAGGTCTTCAAAGTGGCTCTAATTTCCATTATTCCTCCCTTGAAAATGTTTTTAACCTACAGGGTTTCAGGAGTGGGGATGCAGTTTCATGGGCTTCCATTTGGCTTTTCCCAATGTTAAGGTCACGTTCAGAAGCAGATAGATTCCCCACTCAAAAATTGGCTAGAATGTTAAGACTGATGACACCACATATACACCAAGAGGGCAAGAAAAGTTTCACTACTTATATAATTGAGGGTTTTTGGGAGAGGGGAGCAGTCATCTCCAGCAATTCCAAAATGGCTTCTGGAAGCAAAGGAAGGAGAGTGGCCTAGGTTTTCACTATGGTTTGAATTTACTTCATGCAGCAAAGAAGGGGGCATGCAGGCTTTTTTGCCAGCTTGCTCAGAGGTAGGTCACAATGGTAAAAGGAAAGGTCGGTTTCTAGGGAGAATAAAGGCTGAGGCAGGTGCTTCTCCAAGCACTGATGCTGTTCTGGGAAAGGGAGGCTCTTAGTTACTTGAAAGTTAAACCTTAAAGTGGCCTGTGCTCTGACTGGCCTTCAGTCAGGAAGGGGTTATGTTAGAAGGAATAGAAAGCATGGCCAAAAGGCAGAACCACTGTGAAAAGAGAGATGACATTGGGCCTCTTCAGGTGCTTGGCAACCATGGTAGCACAGAAACTGCTTAACTTAGTACAAGGAGACCAGGAAGATACTCTGGACATAGACCAGACTGGGCAACAGAGCAAGACTGTGTCTAAAAAAGACCCAAAAATGACAACAGGGAAGTCATGACTGTGCTGTCACTGCCTGTGTAATAATTGAGCTTTCGTTGAATACTGAGGGCCTGTCCAGGCAGGAGTAGGAATGCTAGATTTCCAAATATACTAAGTATTTTGGGTGCCATCATAAGCATCAAGGAGGCAGGAGATGGTATACCATACTGGACAGTTTAGGAAAAATTTTGAGTATCAAAATCCGTCAGCCACCTATCCTTCACCTTTGGACTCACTGCCAGAGCAACACAGCCAGCAGGCTCGCTAAGTGTTGACAGAAGGAAGACTCAGAAACTGGAAGCGATAGAGTGTAATGAAAGCAGCGCGGGTCCCAGAATTAACAAGCCTGGTTCTGCAATTCTGTAGCCACAGCAATTCCCACCAATCTCTTGTTCTTGGTTTCTGCCTCTAAACAGAAAGAGGCTCCATGACCTTTAGGGCTAGGGAAAGTAAGGCTCCACTGCCCTACAGGATGTCAGGATAACTCCACCCCAGAGGCCATGGCCGCCAGGGCTCCCTGAGAAACAACCTCAGGCCGCAGGAGCCCCGTTCGGCCCCTCGCTCCCTCCCGCCGGCGATGGTCCACGCCCGCGGTCACCCCAAGGCCCTTACTCTGGCCTCAGCTGTAGACCTTGAGGGAGGGAAAGGGCAGCCGGCGCCTCCAACCCGTTCGTGATCCTCGCGCGCCCTCTGGCGGCCAGCGGGGACATGGCCTCACAAGAATCCCTGCCAGAGCCGAGCTCGCCCCTGGGCGGCCATTTCGCTTTGTGGTGGGTCCCATTTTCCCGGCGGGCACTGCGACGGACTGTGACTGTGGTTCCGGGTGTGGTGGTGCACGCCTGTGGTCCTAGCTACTTGGGAGGCTGAGGCGGGAGAATCGCTTGAGCCCAGAAGATCTACGTTGCAGGGAGATATGATAGCGCCACCACACTCCACCCTGGGCAACAGAGCGAGAGCGTTTCTAAAGAGAATAAAAAGACAGCAGGAAACAACGACCGTGCGGTTGTGGCTGCAGGAAATGGCGGCGTGCCCAGGCGCACTCATCACGGTGGCGCGCTCAACAAGGTGCACAGGCGGGCACGCGTCGCATAGCCTGGTGGCGATTTCACATTCGGACAGGCGAAACGTCCCGCTCCCGCTCCCCAGACCCTGGAGAAGGTGAGGAGTGCCGCTTTGCTCCACCCCTTTTCCTTATCCATCTCTTCTGTCTTCCCAAAGAGATGGTGAAGCTCTGGCACTGTAGTCCACACATGGGATAAACATGAGAAACTGAGGAACTATTAAAAAGATGTCTATGCTGGAGCTTCCATCCAGGCCTGCAACCCTGCCCGCTGTTCCATGTCTTATGCACTTCATTCTGGGAGCCTCTGTGCATGCCCTCGGGAGCCAGTCACACACTGCCCGCACACAGCAGTGTTCTGTCCACTGGCATCATCCAGCGTGTTCAGCTTGGCTTCTTTCCTCAACCCCATAAGCCACTGATTCTGGATTGGAACCACTGTTGCAAATAGGTCATTCTCTACACTCCCTGACCGACTATGCCCAGACCATATCCCAGTGACCACAATAGAGTCAGTATTCCAGGCCACCGTTTTCCCCAGCTCCCATTTTATTCCAAAGAGACGTTCCCCCCGGTTTCCCACAGCAAAGGCGAGAACAGCTGGAACACTGAATGTAATATATTGAATAGAAACACATACCGAAACCATTGAAGAGAAGGGAACCACAACACAGAGAGAAACTGCAAACAGCCACGACAGGCCACAGATCCCGGGCCTCTCCTCCTTGGGTTCCTGGCAAGGTGCCTTGTCTTCCCCCGCTCCTGCTTCAGGCCCTGCGGCCACCTCCCTCCTTCCCCAGGACCCCAGGTCTGCCTCTTGCCAGGACGGTGGACTCTGGCAGTATCCACTGGCTTCAGGAAGCCCCTTCTCAAGCCCATTTGCTGGGGCAGGGCCCTGCATTATGGCTCTCACAGGATCGTCACAGGACACTGGAAGACACAGCAGGGAAGACCCCACCAGGTCAAGGAAACTGAGTCACAAATAACAACAGGGGTGGAACACCAAAGCACAAAGCTCCCTGGGGAGCCTCAGGCAGGGCAGCCCCTCTCTGTCAGTGGTCCAGTTCTTCCTGCCACAGTCACGGTCACCATCGTGGTCATGAGGTGAGCGTTTGCCGTGTCCTGTCACCTCCTTCCCACCATCTCTCAGGAATGTCCTGGGGGCCTCCGGGGAGAAGCTGTTCAGAGAAGAACACACACAGCTCCATGAGTACAAGCAGCCCCTGGCCTAGGTCTACACTGGAAAAGCAGAGGTGGTGCTCACAACGAGAGACAGACAGCAGGGACCACAGTGTGGGCTTGCAGGAAGCTCACAGCACGTGTCCTGGGCCCAGAGGCGGCCGCCCAGGTAGGCGCACAGCACACAACATTTTGCAGGAATGACACCTAGCAGTGATCACTATGGGGCCTACACAGGTGAGGGTGGGATTCCTGGAACAGGGGACAGCCTGCCCTGGGAATGGCAAGTGGGGGAACCCCTCTTGGGAGACCCAGGCAGCTGGAACCCTTGAGAGGGCCTCTTTCCCCCTGTCATCTCTCATCCCAGGACAAGGGGTGGGGGACAGACATCTTCAAGTGCACCCACCCAGGCCATGGCTGGCCTCTCAGGGATCCCTCTAGGCCGGCCCCCCGGGAGGTGGCAAGATTTGGGGCTGGGGCTGGGTGCCGCACTGGGTGCACTGGAGGGGCGCCTTCCCCCATCCCATTTAGTATCAAACATGGTCATCTGAGTCACCGGGAAGCACTGGTGACGCTGGCCAGGGCTCTGTGGAGGGAGGTGGGGGCCCCAATCCCAATGTGAGATGAGGGACCGGCCCTGACCTGGCCTCCCTCCTGCCTCTAGGGCACTGCTGCCCTAGAGGAGAGGCGGCCACGGGGCCCTCAGAGTGTATTTGCCAGGGGAGGATTTGGGCTGCCCCGCCTCCCCCCACCCCATCCTCATTTTCCAACTCCTCCAGGATGGACTTAAACCCCCCTGGGAGGGCTTGTCAGCCTCCTGGCCTCCCGCGTGGACAAGACCCTCTGGCTCACAGACAGGACCTCCTCGGGCCATGTTGGCTGCACTGCCCATCCAGGCTGGAGAGGGGCCACAGGGGCCTCGGGGGGGCCTGTCAGCCCTAGGCCTTTAAGGCCTGCAGGGGCATTTTCATCTTCCTCAGTGGCAGAGGCACCCCTGGCGGCGTCTTTGGTGGCAGAATCAGCCTGAGCAGCATCTTCTGTTCCGGGACCAGCCTCGCTGGCATCCCCACGGGCTGGGGAGGCCTGGGCGACATCTCCTCGGGCAGGGGCCATCTGGGAGGCAGCTGGGTCTTCACTCTCCACTGGGGCCTCTGGCCAGGCTGCACCCTGCTGGCTCCTCGCTGGGGAGGCCGCCCACACCTCCATCTCCCGGATGAGCCGAAGCAGCCCCAGGAAGCCGGGCGGCCTCCTATCCAGCTGCATCCCCCTCAGGGTATCCTGGAGAGCCTCGCTGGGGCGGGCCCGAGACAGCACCTGCCGCAGTCGAAAGCGGTTGGCCAGGGCATGGTGGACGGCCCCCTTCTCCACCGCCCTCTGCAGCAGGCCTTCCAGACGCACCACGAAGGCGAACAGCCCCTCCTGGGGCCCCTGCGTGCAGGTCAGGAACTTCAGCCAAGAAGTCATTCGAGTGTCCCGGTCCGTAAACACCTGCCCCAGCGCCGCCAGGCAGTCCCGCGCAGACAAGTTGGGATCTTCCTCCAGGAGGCCACTCACGACATCCAGGGCCGGGCCGCCCAAGCTCTCCAGCAGCCACCTCCTCCTGTCCCTTTCCAACTCGTGGTACCACAGCTGCAGCATGTCTTTGGCGTGCTCCAGCCAGCTCTCAAAGGACTCTTCCACACAGCCTGGCTGCTCCCTCCCGGAAAAGGGTCTCAGTTCCCGGGAGGCCCTGTTTTCCTGCACAGCCTGCAGGGCGCAGCCCCAGGGCTGGACCCAGGCTCTTGCCATATTTGTCCCTCCTGCCTCACCCGCAGCTCCTGTGTCACCTGTGCTTCCCTCATATGACTCTCTTGCCTCTTCTGCAACTCTCAATTCATCTTCAGCTCTTCCGTCACCTGCGCCTCCTGCCTCGCCTGCGCCTCATGCCTCACCTGCACCTCTGGCCATTGCTTGTCCCTGGGGCCGTGCAGAAAAACTGGCCAAATCCTGAAACTCAACGTCAGTAGCCTGGGACAGGGAGATCACACTCCAGGGTTCCCCTTTGCCTGGTATTTGGCAGGGAATCAAGCTTCGGTTTCAACTCTCAGCGAAATTCACCAAGGCTGCCCTGGCCCGGAGATCCTTTCTGGAGATCTTGCCAAGTACTGGGTGCCTGCCCAGGGCCAAGAGGGCAGCCCACCCGGCCTCCTGGAACTCATGTTCCTCGCAGTCATCAGGGATACCCAGGATGAACAGGGAGCAATATGCATTCACACCCATCCACCTGCACCAGTCCCAAAGCATCGCCAGAGCCATCACAGAGGACTTGAAGGAGAGAGCTTGATCAGACAGGAGTCTGTGATGACTGCTGCAGTCTCTGATGCAGCCTGTGCCTGTGCGTGCAAAGGGGAGAGAGGGATGTTGCTGCCAGTCAGTCCACCCCCACCACACAGCCAGACACCAGCCACTTCCCAATGCAGGGCCTGAAGTGTCTCCCCTGCCGAACGTCACAGCCCATGCTCCCCCACCTCCACTGCTGCAGCTCAGAACCCTTCACTGCGCCCCTCACCTCCACAGCAGGAAGCACCTCGTTCACCTTGGTGAACAGCTCCCAATTGTGGAACTTACAGCTGGAGCCCCTCCAACAGTCATCTGCAACCCTGTAGCTGGATGCGCCCACCTCTTTTTCCCAGCACTTGACCAGGAGCCCCCTCCCTAATCTCATCCTCCCTGCAACCTGGCAACCGCCTCCCAAACCTCCCACACCAGCAGTCCCCTTCCCCCACAGCCAGAGCCCCTCTCTCCCATTGTTCCCTTCTGCATCCAGAGCCTCCCTGCAGCCAGGAGCTCACCCCACCCAGACTCCTGCAGCAAGGAGGCCCTCCTCCCCTCCTCAGGCTCCAGACCAGTACCCCCCTCTCACGCTTACTGCCTGTAAGGACAGCAATCTGGCTCTTGCCCGTGGTGCCCTTTGCCACTCTGGGGTCCCACTGGTGCCTGCTCACTGTCTGTGGACACTGCAACCAACCGCGAGGAAGTGCTGCCTTCAGGCTCCTGAGTCCACTTCGGAGACTGCCTCGAGACCCTGGAACAGGAGGGTGGAAGATCACACCTCAGCAGCGCAGCCAGGGCTGCACTGCACAGGGATATCTCAGGCCGGCTGTGCTAAGGACACATGGGCTTCCAACTTCTCCCAGAAGCCTCAAATAGATGACAGAGAAAAACCTCAGAGTCTCTGTGGGAGGCAAATAGCTAGACAGGAGGAGGCATCCGTGTTGCCCTGGGAATGGGACCTGCATGGTAAAGGCTTGATGTGCCAAGGCTTTGAGCCTCCACAAGCAACAGGCCCAACCATTGACCTTCTACCATCAAAATGGCCTAGTGGAAGTGTGGAGGTGTGGAGAGAGAAAGGCGACTGGAAACTGGCAGAAAGAAAGCTCATGCTTAGGGGCAGGGTCTGGAAGCTGGGAGTTAGCGGACAGCCGGGTACCAGGACTCCAGACTAGGTCCCCCAAATCACTACATTCACAGGCCTACCTCCTCATTCCAGGAACCTCCACATAACTCTGAGGCTACAAAGTCAGCCTTCACTACCTAGAGAGCCATTGCATTGGAAAGAGTGTGAATGGCTTTTGGAAGCAGGCAAAGCCGCTTCACCTTGCAGCTGGGTGGCTTTGCACAAACCAGTGAACATCTCTGTTTCTCATCTGTAAATGAACAAGAACATTTTTCTTGCGGTGGAGCTTTACCTTCCATTAGACATACAGTAAGCCTTCAGTACATGACCACAAGGACGCAGGAATGAAAAGGGTATTGGAGGCAGGTTGTTGAAGCCAGCCCAGTAGTCGCAGGTCTGAGCTCTGGGAAAAAGCAGGATATCGGTGGGAACATTGGAACTGTTTTCCAAGGGAACACAAGGATTGGCCAATGTGACAGTATGACTTTCTGTTTCTGCAGGCTTTGGTCAAGAGAGGCGTTTGGGGAGCTCAGCCAGTCTTTGTCATGTCTAGGACTGGATGTCCTTCTGGCCAGCAGCCTTGGGAGTTTCCTGAGAGTGGACCATAGTTCATCCTTGAGTACTGCTGCACTGGCCACCAATGTGAACCGTAAGAGCAGGAGGGGCAGAAGCAGACCACATCTAACCTTCCTTGCAAAGTGTAGGTGAGGGACTTGCCCATGAACTCTTGTAGTAGATTTATTTTTTAATGTCCCTGGTTCTCCACTGTTCCCTGTATCAACACCATTTGTAATATGATTTCAAAACTCCTTCCATCACAAGGTAGTGTCAGTTTCTCCACCTCTGGAATCTAGGCTGGCCTAGAGACTTGCTTTGAAAAATAGAACATGAGAGAAGTGATGAGATGCCAATTACCGTTGATCGTGGGTCACATTTTCCTGTTGCTTTGCATGTTCTGGATTTTTTAAAGTTGTATGCCAGGCATTGTGCTTAAAAGAACCATAGGGATTAGAGTACACTCTTTCGTTGGTTAGGTACTATAGTTTCCCTGAGGTATATAAATTCAATCCAATCAGAATTCCAACTGGACCATGGCTTGCATACATCTTTAGTTAGTATTAGCTTAGTTAGTATCAGGTTTCAAACACCCTGAAGGTAGGATTTGTGTTAAAAGCTACTTCCTCCAGTTGCTAGAGTCAAGCAGAATTTAGGAGTCTAAATAGAAGATTGATATTCTCTTTCTCTCTCCCTCCCTCCCTTCCCCCCCATTCTGTCTCACCCTACCCTGCCATATGACTTCTGTCACCATGCACTCAGGAAAAAACAAAAACAAAAAACACTCATTGGGAGACTCCATTGATGGGGAGAACTAGCTATGCATTTGGGTCTCCTACAGATTCCAATCTGTCTATCCAGACCACACAGTCATTAACTATCTTTATCCCAGCAATTATTGCGCCTATGGCTGGCATAATCCCCTGCCTTGTAAGCCCATTCTTTTTTTTTTTGTTTTATTTATTTTTATTTTTTTATTGCATTTTAGGTTTTGGGGTGCATGTGAAGAACATGCACATGTACATGTGAAGATTGTTGCATAGGTACGCAGATGGCAGTGTGATTTGCTGCCTTCCTCCCCTTCACCTATATCTGGCATTTCTCCCCATGCTCTCTCTCCCCACCTCCCCACCCCCCACTGTCCCTCCCCTATTTCCCCCCAACAGACCCCAGTGTGTAGTGCTCCCCTCCCTGTGTCCATGTGTTCTCATTGTTCAACACCCAGGCCTATGAGTGAGAACATGTGGTGTTTGATTTTCTGCTCTTGTGTCAGTTTGCTGAGAATGATGGTTTCCAGGTTCATCCATGTCCCTACAAAGGACATGAACTCATCATTTTTGATGGTAAGCCCATTCTTACAAGAGAGAACAATGGACATTGATATGCGCTTGTCTCTCTCTGAAATTTAGTTAACTTGACTTCAGGCTGGGCACGGTGGCTCATGCCTGTGGCTCAGCACTTTGGGAGGCTGAGGCGGGTAGATCACTTGAGTCCAGGAGTTTGAGACCAGCCTGGGCAGCATGGCAAAAACCATCACTACAAAAAACCCCAAAATTATCCAAGCGTGGTGGCGTGCACCTGTAGTCCCACTACTCAGGAGGCTGAGGTGGGAAGATCCTTTGAGCCAGGGAGGCGGAGGTTGCAGTGAGCTGAGACTGTACCACTTCACTCCTGGTTAGGTGACAGAGTGAGACAGTGTCTCAATATATATCAGGTTTCTGACCATCTGATTTTTTTATAGTTGTTACAGTGATATTAATGGTCTGTCACGAGCTACATCCTAACCAGAACAAGTCTACTCTAGACCCACAAAGAAGTGGAGTTCTTGTTTCTGAGACATTTTAAGTGATCTCTTTTAACCCTAGAAACTACCTAAGGTAGTAGGGGTAATCGGTGCATTTGAAATTTTGACATGAGAGGGAAAATGACCCTAGTGGATTTGTAATTACCCTAAGTTCCATGTCTTTAAAACTAGGGATGTTCGTATTGGTGGCTTACTTTTGCTCCCTGACTTTACAAATAACAAGTAGACACAGTTAAGTGCCAGGTTTGTCAATGGGAAAGATGTATAGTCGTGGTTCACTGGACATTTTTCTGAGATGTATATTTGGTTATCACCTATTTGAATAGTAAAAAGTCCTCCTTTCCTCACCTCATCCCAACTGTGATATTAACAACAAAAATCTGAGTTATGATGTAGAATGCCAGAACAATGGGATATTGTACAGTTAGGCTTGAGGACCTAATTTTGGTTCACTGGACAAGGTGTATATGCAATTGAGTGTTCAGTAACAAAATTTATCCTAAAACACAGAGGAATTTTGTATCTATATTTATTACCCTAATTGTCCACAATCCTGGAGATGCCACGTGATGACAGACCAGCAGGACTGCACGTATTTATGCTCACAGAAACATTTTCTGTTCTGTCTGCAGTGCTATCACAGCTTACGTGGTGGCACCTGGGGAAAAGTAACAAAAGCAGCTGACAGAAATAAGGGACATAGTGGATAGTGATATAACAGGGGTAGGTGGTAGGAACTCAGTATAGTTTGCACATGGTAAATACTACATACAAACTCCTAAGAACTGGAACTTCATTACACCAGCCCCCAGGATGAAATACTTCATGGCTCTCCCTCTGTGGGAAGTAGGGGTACTATGACTCATTTGACTACTGATATTGCACCCACTGAGACATGTGGTAAAAGTGCAGCTCAGCTCAGGCTGAGCAAGGCAGAGCCATTCCTGAAAGCCCAAAGCAGTCAAAAGGGTATCAACAGTCATCATTCCCCACTGGCTGCTTCCATCAGCATATGCACTGAGCTTG